GATTGACCAGTTTCTAAAATCGACTGGAACTTTACATAAGCAAGAACATTTACAGTGTTGGGTAATGCACTATCAAAACGTATCTTAATTTGTACATGTTCCTGTTTCACCAAATTAAAGTGTGAATCTCCAGCAGAAAGATCATTGGACCAAAGCAAAAAGAGTATATATATATATATATCCTCCCAAGTATTCGTCATACCCTATATTAATTCTTTGATCTTGAAAATACTTCCCCATTCCACTAAATAATGTTGAGCATCAACACGGGGTTGTAAAGGTCGAGCAGGAATCCGTTTTCTACCCATATTATTTGCCACAAAATTGATACTGTAATGTTTGAAATTGTATAGGCTTTTCTTCCAAGGTCTGTTAAATGCATTATTATCAATACAGCTTATAACGCATGTTGGTACTTGACCTAAAACGCATTATTGATAGATACTTGATAAAGGAGTTGAAAAATGATTTGGACCCTATATATTTTAAAGGATACTTAACCGTTCCTTTCTGAAATGCTTTAACGTGTGGCAGAATAACCGATGAGCTGATCTTGACTCTTCTAGCATAGATAGAAACGTGTTGTAGTAAAATTACTTTACTTTTAAACTTACACCATTAGGCAAGAACTTGTTCTGTAAAAAGATATCCGAATGTAGACTGCTGATAAGTCAACTGTTTGAGTACCACATGTTGATCTTTGATTCCATCACCCTCTATTTTGAGGGTCTCGATTTTAATGATGGTTCATTAAAATTAATACCCTCAAAATTACCCAACACGTCTTTTATTTTATTTTAATGTCACGTGATTTGTCTTAGCTTCTCCGTTATAATTCAATAACAATTCTATGTAGGCCTTATACATACACGTGAAGGTTGTAAGACTCAAGAAATGAAGAAACAGATTGATGGGAACAGTTATTTTCATCCTTTTTATATTGGTATCATCTGGTTTGACAATATGTACTGTGGACATATTATTATGTAAAAATCTAAGTATTCATCTCCCAAACCTGATATAGAACATTCAATGGGTGCTCTACCACTCACCGAAGATAGAGGAAAACATTTGGTCCACTGACCTTCCTCAATCACAATTTGCATCGGCGGGAGAGAAAATCAGTCGAGCTCAGACTTGGTACTCTGAAAGGTCTTTTCATGCAGAAGGAGAGTCATGATTATTTGTTCATCCATCTTACAATTTGGGTTGTGTTCTTCAAATTCTGCTGATAGTTCGATACCCTTGAAATGTACGAATTATAAAATGTTTGACTGCCAAGATTAAATTAACTTTCATACACAAGTGGTACATTTCAGCCAGTACACAATTCTTGTATATTCTCTACTCTCTTACATTATCCTACTGATCTTCGTTCATTAATGACCTCAACTTGAGAATTAACCTGTCCTGTCTGGTAATATTTGAATATAATGACAACAAGAACTAATACATTTTGTTTGATATCTAACAATACAGAACACTGATTATTCTCACATATGGTTTGGTTTGAATTTCGCGCAAAGCTACACGAGAGCTATCTGCGCTAGCCGTTCCTAATTTAGCAGTGTAAGACTAGAGGGAAGGCAGCTAGTCATCACCACCCACCGCCAACTCTTTTACCAACGAATAGTGGGATTGACCGTAACATTATAATGCCCCCACGGCTGAAAGGGCGAGCGTGTTTGGTGGGATGGGGATTCGAACCCGCGACTCACATATGTACTGAAAATTCGTAAATGTTATAATATTTTTGGAAATTAGATATTTACTGTAGTAAGACCTACTTTACATCTTATAAAAGACCATAATCTCTGGTTGCTTTAGTGCTCAACGAAAATGTGATGAAATTTTTGACGACGCAAATTTAACATTATCAGGCTCTTGTATGGTATAAAGAATTAAAAATGTATTGAATACTTTTGATGTTACATCACTCTATCATTGGAACAATAAGTACCGTGAATACCGTATGGACGTTTTCAATATGGTGATATACTTGTAAGTTCTGTGATCTCACGACAAAAAGTATGGTCTACAAGAAAAGACATATCTATCGTTTATATGAAATCGGTTTATAAAGATCGTTTGTATAAATTCACATAAAAACCATGTTAGACGAACGTGATTATATGTATCTCCAGAGACTGCTGGTGAAAGACCATGCTTATTATAATTAAGTTAATATTATTCCTACCATATATAAAAACCATGTTAGACGAACGTGATTATATGTATCTCCAGAGACTGCTGGTGAAAGACCATGCTTATTATAATTAAGTTAATATTATTCCTACCATATAACATAATATATCCAGGTAAGTGGCCAAGGGTCCATAAAATGTAGACAAATGCTTTGATAGTAGGCGACATAGTTTTCTTTGTATAGTATACAGAGTCGCAAAAAAAAACTTTTGTTTGATCTATGCTAAATGTACGACGACTTTCTTGAGTTATGGGAACATCCGAATGCATAACAATAAGACAGATGATATCTTTTTATTGACCCTGTACTACGGGTTTCGAACGAGAGATGTGACACCATCTAGAGTATATATATACTTTGTGATGCACGACAATGTCTTTCAACCAGTACTTGGGTTAGCTGGGAATGCAACATCTAAAGTTAGATACCTTGATAAGTGATGTAACACTGATGACTGATATATAGTGCTTTGATTGGGACTTCCAGCCTTAGGTGTCGGCATAATTTGTATACTACATAATAGTTTTATAACCCTCGGGTGGCATCCTTTGTCTATAACCTAACGGTTGTATAACCCCAGGTGGCGGCATAATTTGTGTACATAACCCTCGGGTGGCATCCTTTGTCTATAACCTAACGGCTGTATAACTCCAGGTGGCGGCATAATTTGTATACATAACCCTCGGGTGGCATCCTTTGTCTATAACCTAACGGTTGTATAACCCCAGGTGGCGGCATGCCCCTTATTACTCCCATGCAAGAGGAGAATAGTGTTGTAGGGATTTTGTAGAGTTTGTTCTCACTTTGTTGGCAAAGTCATTAAGCAACGCATTTGTAAATATTATATTTCTCAAATGAGCATAATAAATTAAAGCTGAGAGACTGACTTTGTCAGAAAACCTGAGCTTAATAAATTAAAGCTGAGAGACTGACTTTGTCAGAAAACCT